TGACCCAATGCAATTTTTTTTAGATTAGAACGTGTTTTCAAACGTCCCAAAAAATTTTCTATATTTAATTAATGGTGAAACATTTTATAAATTCATGAAAGCTTCTATCTATTTTTTATTAATGTGTTAATTACTTTATAATAATAATACCGATTATCAATAATATTCAACTGCAGGATTACTGTTTTGAAATTTATTATATTAATGGTGTTGACCATCTGCTGTTTTTTTACTGACTGACTGACTGACTGACACTAAATGACGTGACTGACGCTGACTGACTGACTGAATGAACTGACTGTGTGTGTGGACTTGACCGGCCAAGCGGTTGGGCGGCCACGCGAGGTGCCGCAAAGGCCACTTCTCGAGCGTCTGGCAACAGCGCCGCATAAGTGGCGGTGACCAGCCTCTCCGCGTTCACGAAAGACTATCTCCTGGTACGATGCATAAAGGCAGGCAGAAATAAAAATATATATAAGTATACTGTATAAAGGCATATAGAGAAGCAAAAACAGAAGACATCCACCAAAAATGAGCTGTAATTTATTAAGTTTATGGCAGAAAAATCAATAAAATCAAACATACCTACCACTTGGGAAGCTTTGATTCAAACTCTTTACGTGAACGCAGAGTCATTCATGCATGCTATATATATCATGGCTTTGCTGTTCAAAATCTAGAGCTTTTCAATTTTTGAGCGATTTACCTTAAGGGAAGAAAAATAAATTTAATATCATATATACTTAATAATCGTATTGCAATGAATTTAAGTTCACAGTCCCAATCCTTGTACTCTGAACTGGCAACCCTGCCCACCCGGTGTCGGCCAGCCATCTTTTCGTCTCTAAAATCGACATCCTACGAAATTTTTTAGTTTCTAAGAATTAATGCCAATTAATGATTAAGTATTTCGATTAATAAACAAAACTATAAAGTCATTTACGACTCATGGTTGTTTACGACTGACTTCCGTACACCCTGCGTTTATAATAAGTGAGTACATCTTGAATTTCTGTTTTCTAAGAAACACCATAGAAGATATTCGAGGAGAAACTACTTCCTTTCGTATCACCGAGCGCGCTGGCTCGAATTAATTACACAACTCCATGTAAAATGCAACATATAAACGGCAAACCAGAGTTTCTCTTCAAGCCCCAAAGATGTCATTGGCATTTGGGATTGCCTATAATCGGTATTGGTGTGAGGTTTCGTTGCTATAATTGCTGTATAACGTGTAGGACTGCCTCAACAGCATGAAACATGATCACTATTCGCTATCATCGGTACAAATGGTTAATGGTATCAGGCGTCATAGAGCAATGACTAGAGTAGAAGCTATGTCCGCCCGTTCAGCCTCTGTATCTATCAGTTGTCAGGTTAAGCTTGAACCTAACGCTTGTGAAAAGGTGAACGTAAACTTGAAATAAATTTAAGAAGGCCAGGACTGAATAAAAACTAAGCAGGAAATGCTTGAGAATTTGAAGTGTGGTACGCAAGTGAACTTGCGAGTGAGTTATGGATTCCTAGTGGCTAAATAACGGCTGTCGAGTGGGTGAAAAACGGTTATCGAGCGTGAGTGAAGTTAGGGGACACAGCAAGCACGGTTTAACCAATGCTGAATCAAAGTGGAGCTCATGAGAAATAAGGACGGAAGAAATGAAACCAAATTTATGTATAACGCTGCAATTATAATATTTAACACAAAAAGGCAACTACTGATAAAATCTGCTTTAAAATTATCAACCTATGCAGAAGTAAAAAATATAATTTAATAAAACTGGTCATTAATTTCGTCAACAGAGGGCCTATCTTTTTGCATTCCATACATGAAACAAAGTCGCGATGAAGAAATCAACAAAGTCATTATGATTTAAACTAAAACAAAGTTAATATATTACACGAGTTTTCAAAATATCGTCCTGACTCATGACGCGCTAATCCTTCATTCAAGATAATAGCTCGAGTACGCCGCTGATGCCGAAGCCGAGCCATGGCGGAACCTTGACGCGGACGAGGTCAAGTCGTGGCGGGACCTTGACGCGGACGAGGTCAAGTCGTGGCGGGACCTTGGCGCGGACGAGGTCAAGTCGTGGCGGGACCTTGGCGCGGACGAGGTCAAGTCGCGGCGGGACCTTGACGCGGACGTGGTCAAGTCGTGGCGGGACCTTGACGCGGACGAGGTCAAGTCGTGGCGGGACCTTGGCGCAGACGAGGTCAAGTCGTGGCGGGACCTTGGCGCAGACGAGGTCAAGTTGTGGCGTGACGCGGACGAGGTCAAGTTGTGGCGTGACCTTGACGCGGACGAGGTCAAGTCTTGGCGGGACTTTGGCGCCGACAAGCCCAAGCCATAGTGGGACTTAGAGGCCGACGAGGCCGAGCCGTAGTGGGACTTTGACGCCGACGAGGCATAGCTTCGGGACTCGGATGTATCCCGCCTATAGGAAGTCGCAACATTTGGGTTCTCCAGAGGGGCGAGGGAAGCGAAGAGGGCAGCCTGGAGCTGTAGAGCTTCTTCAGAAGCCTTGTCTGGATAGAGTCGTTCAGAAGTAGAATTGCGAGCAACGATCTCTTCTGGTAGTTCAAAATCTCGTAATTCTCGTTCCCACAATCGTTCCTTCTTGCACTTCCATTGTACCTCCGAATTTTTAGTAGAGGTGCGTTTTCCACTTTTCCTCTGGCGTTCAATTTGTGCAGTCCGTACCTCACGGTTATTCGATATCCGGATTATGCCTGACGTTGTTAATTGTACCAATATTTTATCCTCAGTTCTGTGATTCATTGGCGCCTCAGCAGTGACATCTAAGCCAGCAGAATCTATTCTATCCTTCAGGCCACACTTGCAGCAAGAAGTTCTCAGTCGTTCAACGACTTGCCTCCAGTTGCGGTACTTCGCCCCGACTCCACAGAAAATATTCTCAGGACCTCGGTCCACCATCATACCGCCTCCGAAAGCCCCGCTATTATCTCTTAAATAAGAACTATTCAAATCCAGCTTCATTTGTTCCTTTTCCCAATCTTTGAGGTGAAAAGAGGTTATAATATCCACCGGGTTGGCCAATGGCTTCAGCCACTTCAGTCGGTGGTTCGGAATAGCCGAAGTGTCGTTGCCGATAGACCCGGTCAAATCAGTCTTGTCAGACCGAAAACTCGATACTTCGCTGCTCGAGTCTGTCAAATCGTCAGATGACCGGTCTGTTGAGCTAAGTGATGAAACTGTTGACGTATATGACGATTCAAAACTTTTGGTGGACGTAGAGCCATCGCATGAATCAGTCCCGTAATCCCTCCAGCTATCGTCTGATCGGACACATCCTCCCGAAGTACCGCCCCGTCGGAGCACAAATGACGATGGTTGTCTCAAGAGACAGAAACAGCCCTGCGGAGTGCCCAAATTTTTTGTTACCATGTGTAGGAGTCGCCGAGCCGCTCCTTGACTTTCATAAAAGTCGTCAGAATCTTCGTCGTAGGACGATCCTGCTTGCGTAACGTCACTTGAGGAGTCCTCCGCTTCGTCGGAAGACAAACATGAGCACAGTTTCGTGGAGTCCTCTTCTTCCGATGATTCGGAATGATGATAGAAACTACACTTCGACTTCTTAGCTGCGCGAGGTGACAAGCATTGGGGATCTCCGTAGGATACTTGAGAACAACTGCAGCAGCTGCGCATCATTTCTGTAGGACACATTAAGGAACCTGCAAACAAAATACTTTGATCATCAGCCATGATGTTATTGGTTGCAACTAAATTATGACTGTTGTGGCCTAAAGCGCAATTATAATCCTGCAGTTCAGAAACAAGCTTAGTCATTACCAGTCCCGCAGGCTTGTGCGGTACAGGACTATAAGATTATATAGATACTTCATCAAGATATGGTAAATCAGGGTAGGTTAACTCTACTTGAGGACAAGACCCCTGTGACTTGAAGCCCTTACGGATGTCAATAGCAGGAGTTAAATTCGTCCTCGAAGAAGCGGATTTGACTTCAGAGTTCTCGCTTCTGCTGTGAGGCTTGCTGGCTACTACGTTTGTCCTGGACATCGGCTCTGAACACCCTCTGGACATCGGCTCTGAAAACCCTCTGGACATCGGCTCTGAAAACCCTCTGGACATCGGCTCTGAAAACCCTCTGGACATCGGCTCTGAAAACCCTCTGAACATCGGCTCTGAAAACCCCTTGGAAATCGTGAGCACAATTTCTGCAGATGAAAACTTATGCTCGCTTTTGGTCGCTGGTCTCAGAGGCCTTATTCTCAGCAGCACCATTTGTTCAACGAGTTTTATTAATTTGCAATCGATAAAAAATTATTTAAAAACGTCTAAGAAGAAGTTTAAAAAGATAAAAGCCTGTTAAATGACAAGAAAATTTTTAAATCCTCATGTTCGTCACACTTTGTCAGTTAAAGACGAGTCAATTGTCTTTTGGCGTATTTTCTTTAAATATCAAAATATTACAAGATGTAGAAAATAATTTGGGCGTTGATGCACCTTAAAGTTAAGACGTTTCTTCCGAGAAGCACAAGCTTCACAAACTTGGTCCCAGGCCTGCCAATTCATTACATATTATCTGGAGCCTATACAAGTCATCTTCTGACTAATTTCAATTGCCAGCATTTGAACGAGCCTAACTCCTGACATTTAACGATCTTCAATTTTCTACATCTCACCATTTTCCACTGCCGACCTTTGAAAATTTTATATTTCCAATATTTAACAATTTTCAGCTTCCGACTTTTGACCACTTTGAATTTCTGGCATCTGACGAATTTCAATTTCGGGATCCTGAACATTTTAAATTTGGGGAATTTGAATTTCTGTGATTCATTACTCTCACGAATATTGACTTTTCGGCGCACGAAAATTTTTAGCTTCCGACGTCTGATAATCTTAAGTTTCCTCCGTTCGATCATTTTCAATTTCCAAGTTCTGACAACTTTATACGCACGGAATTTGACAACTTGGAGCTTAGGAATTTTCGACGTGCGATTGTTGACAATCCTCAACTTGCGACGTTTGACAATCTGCAGTTTGGAGCATTCGACCATCTTGAACTCTCGACATCTGACGATTCGTAATTTCCGACGATTTACCATTTTTAGGTCAACGGAAGTCTCGAGTTTCAGTCTTCGACTTTTGCGAATTTTGGCCATGCCGCTAGCGTTGGTGTGACAAAGGCGTACCACAAAGTTTTTGTTAGGCAAAATTTAACGCTTATTTAATTTAATATTACAACGCAACGTGAAGCTTTAGTTTACTTAATATGAATATTGCTAAATTATTTAATTTTCAATGGATATACCGGGCACACCGTATCTGCATATGAAGACTGACCAAAAGCACGGGAAGAAATTATGGGCCTAACCACGAAGCTTCAACCCATCACTCGTACCCTAACCACCAAGCTTCAACCCATCACACATACCCTAACCACCAAGCTTCAACCCATCACACTTACCCCAACCACCAAGCTTCAACCCATCACACTTACCCCAACCACCAAGCTTCAACCATCACACGTAACCTAACCACCAAGCTTCAACCCATCACACGTACCCTAACCACCAAGCTTCCACCCATCACACGTACCCTAACCACCAAGCTTCAACCCATCACACGTACCCTAACCACCACGCTTCAACCCATCACACGTACCCTAACCACTTTGATACACGATATGTACAAGGTTTGGTACAGAATGTTAATGTTTAATAGAATATAAAATAAATAGGTAAAATTTTGTTTAAATCAATTTATATTCAGGGAATATATCATAAATAATAGCTAAACCCATTACATTTCCAGTCACTCAAGATAATGGGACAACATTCACCAATTAAACGTTAAAGGGTTAAACCGAAACTTTAAAGAATTAAACACTTGTGAACATCTTCAGTTCAACAGCACGGAAGCTCCCAGTAAGACAATTGTCGATTAAAGAATAATCTTATTAGTTAAATAAATTAGTTAATAAGTTAATAAATATTAGTTAAACAATGATCTCGGGTAAGGAATGATTTTAGTAACAGAATTATCCCAAGTAGACGGGCTGGGCTGATGGTTCTCCAAATGTTGCCAAATGTTGCAGGTTGACTATTTTTGCGTCGCTTAAATGTCATTAATTGTAAGTAAAGTTTTTAATGAATTTTTGTTGTATAGATTAGCCTTATAGTTATTTTATTTAGTTTTCTTTTTAGTATTAGAAGTGAAATTGTATAATGTGTATTAGTGTTATTAATTAAGTACTACTTTTTAGAACTAATACTACAGTCGATATTGTAGATTAGCATAAGTTATGTATTAGTATAATAGGCTAATTCGTATTATTTGGTAGTCTTAGTAAATATAGTGTTATGTTTTATCTCGTGATACATCAACCTATTGTTGTCTTAGGAATATTATTAAATATAGTTAGCGTTTGTCAGTTACTCTATATGTTTCTCTTATTTATGTGTCTCTAGGAATTTAGAAGCAAAGAAAACGCCAAGCAAATTCACCATATCGATATTGAAAACGTGAGATTAATGAGATTGATCTTAATCTCTTAATGAGATGAGATTAGGTGTCTCATTAAGCAATACGAGGGCTTAATCAGACGTTAGCCCACCTGCCCAATTAGACCCCATCAATAGTGGCAGTGACAGCAGTCAGACCTCATCAGTCCTGTAGACCCTATATATATAAGACCAGCCAAGGCTTTACTTAACATCTTACTTAGGAATAAGTAATAAGTATTTGACTGTCATAATAAGTATTGGAATAATGATATTTCGAATGTCATATCGCGATGATATTGCATCGAATTTACTGTCCCATTACGGTGATAATAAATCCATATTACCCATTTATTAACGTTTATGAAAACTTCTTTCGCTATTGCCACACATAAAGTTGTTTATTAATAATTAATATAGTACAGGTGCACTCGAAGAAATGAGCGGGACTTTGTCCAAATATCAATGCAATTAGCGCCCCTTGTGGGTCATCGTGACCCAGTTCCTGACCTGATCAGCGCTACTTCGGAAAGTGTGTCATCATTTGGACAACATTACCCACTAATTTCTTTGAATGTGCCTGGTGTGATATATACGTATGGCTGAGTATTTTATTTGCAGTTCTATTATAGTTTATATTGACATAGGTTTTATGTAGGATTTATATAGGGTTTATATTCGGTTTAAATAATAGAGTATTTACATTATTTTCGGTCCATAATAGATAAGGGTTCCCATTAGTCAAGGGTAATGATCTGCATGAAAGTAAAACTACCTATTTAATAAATTTAAATTTAACTAAAACTACCAATTTAATAAATTTAACACTCAAGGCGTCAGGAAATATGTTATTATTATTTACACTTACGTATGTAAATTATATGAAGGAAAATGCACCGTCCAAACCAATGCAATTATTCCAGAAGAAAGCAATCCCAGAAATGGCCGTGGAGAACGGGCCGAAACATTGCAATTTGGCGGGCAATGAAAGCAATGCAGTCACCCTTGAAATTGTCCTTTGTGTTCAGTGTTGGGGAGGGGGGGAAAGGAGTAGGGAGGGTTAAGAAGGAGTAGGGAGGGTTAAGAAGGAGTAGGGAGGGTTAAGAAGGAGTAAAGAGGGTTAAGAAGGAGTAGGGAGGGTTGAGAAGGAGTAGGGAGGGTTGAGAAGGAGTAGGGAGGGTTAAGAAGGAGTAGGGAGGGTTAAGAAGGAGTAGAGAGGGCTAAGTAGGAGTACGGAGGGTTGAGAAAGGGTAGGGAGGGTTTACCTCCCTACCCTTTCGTCCCTCTCTACCCCTTCTCAACCCTCCCTACTCCTTCTTAACCCTCTCTACTGTGAGAGGGTTAAAAAGTAGTAAGGAGGGTAAAGAAATAGTGAGGAGGGCTAAGAAGGGGTAATTAGAGTGGAGGAGGGTTAGAGGGGCTAGAGGGGGCTGGAGGGACGCCGGAAGGGGTGAGGTGTGGCAATGGAGGTAATGGGAGGGAAGCGATAAGGTCAATGGGAGGCGGGGGGAGGGGTGATAGAGAATTGTTATTGCTGTTGTCGCCCCTGTTGTCACCCTGTTGTCGCCCCTGTTGTCACCCCTGTTGTCGCCCCTGTTGTCGCCCCTGTTGTCGCCCCTGTTGTCGCCCCTGTTGTCGCTTCTGTTGTCGCCCCTGTTGTCGCCCTTGTTGTCGTCCCTGTTGTCACCCCTGTTGTCGCCCCTGTTGTCGCCCCTGTTGTCGTCCCTGTTGTCGCCCCTGTTGTCACCCCTGTTGTCGCCCCTGTTGTCGTCCCTGTTGTCGTCCCTGTTGTCCCTGTTGTCGTCCCTGTTGTCACCCCTGTTGTCACCCCTGTTGTCGTCCCTGTTGTCGTCCCTGTTGTCACCCCTGTTGTCGTCCCTGTTGTCGCCCCTGTTGTCGTCCCTGTTGTCGCCCCTGTTGTCGTCCCTGTTGTCGCCCCTGTTGTCGCCCCTGTTGTCGCCCCTGTTGTCGCCCCTGTTGTCACCCCTGTTGTCGTCCCTGTCGTCCCTGTTGTCGTCCCTGTTGTCGTCCCTGTAGTCGCCCCTGTTGTCGCCCCTGTTGTCGCCCCTGTTGTCGCCCCTGTTGTCGCCCCTGTTGTCGCCCCTGTTGTCACCCCTGTTGTCGTCCCTGTCGTCCCTGTTGTCGTCCCTGTTGTCGTCCCTGTTGTCGCCCCTGTTGTCGCCCCTGTTGTCGTCCCTGTTGTCGTCCCTGTTGTCACCCCTGTTGTCGTCCCTGTTGTCGCCCCTGTCGCCCCTGTTGTCCCTGTTGTCCCTAATTGGCCGTGTAGGGGGCGTGTACGGGTGACGGCACGTCACGGCACCAAAGGCGTCACGTTCGCCGTATTGATTTTTTTAAATAGCATTTTTTAAAATTGGTTTTAAGAGCGTTTTTAAATAACATTAAAATAGTTCTATGTTAATAATAAACTATGCTAGTAAGTACGTATTGATTTTTTTTAAATAGCATTTTTTAAAATTGGTTTTAAGAGCATTTTAAATAGCATTAAAATAATTCTATGTTAATATAAATAGCTTTTTTAAAATTGATTTTTTTAAATACCATTTTAAATAGCATTAAAATAGTTCTATGTTAATAATAAATTGTGCTAGTAAGTAAAATTTTTTTTTTCTGTATAGACCATTTAATATTAAATGATATTTAAACAGATAGCATTTCTAAAACACAGTTATTTATTGAGTTTTGTTATTAATACTCATCATTCGATGGAGTTATCGCCCTTGCTCTCAAAAATGTTATATATGGTAAGTTATATGGCAGTGCCATTTTTGTCGTATTTTTGACGCAATTTTTATCGTGATTTTTGGGTAATTTTCATCGTATTTTTGGCGCAATTTTTTTCGTAATTTTTAGCGAAATTTTTATCGTTTTATCTGCGCAATTTTTATCGTATTTTATGTTCAATATTTATCGTATTTTATGCGCAATTTTTATCGTATTTTTGGCGCAATTTTATCGTATTTTTGGCGAAATTTTAATCGTATTTTTGGCGCAATTTTTTTCGTAATTTTTAGCGAAATTTTTATCGTTTTATCTGCGCAATTTTTATCGTATTTTATGTGCAATTTTAATCGTATTTTTGGCAAAATTTTTATCGTATTTTTGGCGCAAATTTCATCGTATATTCTGCGCGATTTTTACTATATTTTTTGTAATTTTTTTCGTATTTTCTCGTAATTTTTATAATTTTTGGCGTAATTTTGAGATCGATTGTCGGACTTTGGCGTCTACTTTTGGCCATCTGCCTAATGACCGCCAGAGGGGCGGCCGTAATTAACGTCCACTCGTGACGGTCATCACGTCTATTTTAATTTTAATTACCGAAATTATTATTATTATTTAGTTATTAAATTTTATGTTTAATAACTAAACCCCAGACCGTCCCCCCAGACCGTCCCTTCAACCCGTCCCCCCAGACCTGTCTCTTATACACATCTAGATGTGTATAAGAGACAGGTTTAATAGAATNACTCTGGTAGGAATAGCATTATGGATAAGAGGACGCGTGTGCCGGCATGGCAGTAAAGGCTTAACCCACAACTCTGGTAGGAATAGCATTATGGATAAGAGGACGCGTGTGCCGGCATGGCAGTAAAGGCTTAACCCACAACTCTGGTAGCACACAACTCTGGTAACCCACAACTCTGGTAGGAATAGCATTAATTAATTGCAGAATTTGCATGAGAATTAAGCCGGCAATTTAGACCGAACCCTCGGACCCTTCGTCCCGCCTGAGCCCATTACCCCTTTGTTGAACCCATTAGCCTTCACTGCAAGCGTTGCAGGGCCATTAGCTCCATTGAATGGAACTCATTAACATATATTGCTACACTGCGCTACAGCTACACTGCGCTACAGCTACACCGCGCTACACTGCGCTACAGCTACACTGCGCTACAGCTACACTGCGCTACAGCTACACTGCGCTACAGCTACACTGCGCTACAGCTACACTGCGCTACAGCTACACCGCGCTACAGCTACACCGCGCTACAGCTACACCGCGCTACAGCTACACTGCGCTACAGCTACACTGCGCTACAGCTACACTGCGCTACAGCTAGACTGCGCTACAGCTACATTGCGCTACAGCTACATCGCGCTACAGCTACACCAGTGGGCAACAGAGCTGGCAACAGAGGGCAACAGACAAGAGCTAAACACTGACAGGTGGCAACAGGATGCTCGGCTGTCTGTATATTGACAGGAGCGTTGACGGCGTCTCGTGTTGACAGTAAACAGAAGAACAAACAGAACTCCTGTTAACGACCCCCATACCCTGTACCTTTACTGTCATTGTATCCTCCTCATTGTTTTTTCACTGTACATACGAATTATTTTGTCCTTATTTCATGCTGAACATTTTAAAGAGTCGCTCTGTCCCGATTATTTTTCTGTGTGGTGATGGAGCATGAGTCATCGTCAAACTTTTCATGTCGCCCGAACTTGTGTGAAAAGTTGCGTCCCTCTCCGTCCCTCTCCGTCCCTCTTCGTCCCTCTCCGTCCCTCTTCGTCCATCTTCGTCCCTCTTCGTCCATCTTCGTCCATCTTCGTCAATCGTCGTCCATCTTTTTAGCGCATTTTCTCATTTATGGAACAAAAGGCGATATTGTGCTCGTCATGTCCGTCTGTCCGTCCGTCTGTCCGTCTGTCCGTCGACGAGAAAATGCGCTCTCTGTCACTCACTGCAGTGAGTACTGAGTTATATTTTTTGCTTATCGTCTTTCTTCGTCCCCAATCGTTCCTCTTTTCCTCTCTTCGTCCCTTCAACCTTTTTTTCATCTTCGTATTTCTTCTTCTCCCTCCGCCCCTTTTCATCCCTCTTTGTCCCTCTTCATCCCTTTTCATTAATTTCTACGTCCCTTTTTTGGCCTCATTTACCCATTTATCCTCAAAAATGTTAATCGGCCTTTTAACCTTCACGTGCCTCCGGGGTAAGTAACTTACCCTCACTTACCCTCACTCTACCCTCACTCTACCCTCACTCTACCCTCACTTACCCTCACTCTACCCTCACTTACCTCACTCTACCCTCACTCTACCCTCACTTACCCTCACTTACCCTCACCTACCCTCACTTACCCTCACTTACCCTCACTTACCCTCACTCACCCTCACCTACCCCTGTCTCTTATACACATCTAGATGTGTATAAGAGACAGGTCTATAGCTATAATTAATTGTAAAGTATAAGAATTATGTATTAATAATAATTTTAGCGGGTAGTTTATCATCACGTCGCTGTCTCGTTGCAGAGCGCTGCTGGAAGGCCCTGGGCATGGCTAATGGAGACATCGCCGACCACCGCCTCAGCTCTTCCTCCAACTACGACTCCGTGGTGCATGCCAAGTATGCTAGGTGAGTGTTATTATTGTTNCCTCACTTACCCTCACTTACCCTCACTTACCCTCACTTACCCTCACCTATCCTCACCTACCCTCACTTACCCTCACTTACCCTCACTTACCCTCACCTATCCTCACCTACCCTCACTTACCCTCACTACCCTCACTTACCCTCACTTTTTAAGTTAACACATTTCCCCTCACTAGTGAGTCAGTTCTCACGAGGGTAAGTAACTTTCCCTCACAAGCGAGACCGATCGTAATTACCCTGCCTCACGAGGGTGAGGGTTTTGTCTGCCTCACTGCTAAAGGGTAGCGCCTCATTATGAGGAAGGGTTGTGAGGGGAACGAGGGGTTCCCCTCAAGACCCTCACAATTGTGAGGGTTATGTTCCCCTCACAACCCTCACTCCCCTCACAAGCGACGGCTGTAAACGAGTGTGTTGTGACACGTGATATTGAGCGTGACACATCGCCTGCTGTGTCATGCCGTGACACATCGCCTGCTGTGTCATGCTGTGACACATCGCCTGCTGTGTCATGCCGTGACACATCGCCTGCTGTGTCATGCCGTGACACATCGCCTGCTGTGTCATGCCGTGACACATCGCCTGCTGTGTCATGCCGTGACACATCGCCTGCTGTGTCATGCCGTGACACATCGCCTGCTGTGTCATGCCGTGACACATCGCCTGCTGTGTCATGCCGTGACACATCGCCTGCTGTGTCATGCCGTGACACATCGCCTGCTGTGTCATGCCGTGACACATCGCCTGCTGTGTCATGCCGTGACACATCGCCTGCTGTNGAACATTATTCTCAAATAAACAAGAAACCTAAAAAAATTTCATATACAAGCTAGGCTACAACCCTAAGCCAGATGTGTATAAGAGACAGCTATTTTCTCGTCTATGATTAAGTGAACGTAAGTACTTACGCTTTATTTTCTTGTCTATGATTGGTGGATTTTGCTTGAAAGGCCGTCAATGATTGGCTGATGAACTTACGATCTCTTAACTTTTTTTTTTGAAAGTATGGGCCCTGGGCGGCGCCTGATGCAGGGTCGCGCTGGGACATCAGACCATCTAAATTTTGCTGGGGCTGAGGCGCTGGGACGCGGAGACGCTAACAACGTCCGGTCCCGGCAACAGGAAATTAGCAACACGCGTGAGGCTTCTGGGGTGAGGGGGTGAGGGGGTGAGGGGGTGAGGCGGGGTACGGACGTGAGGGGGTTATGAGATGTGAGGGGGTGAGGAGGTGGAGGGGTGGGGGTGAAGGGGTAAGGACGTGTGGGGGTTATGAGAAGTGAGGGGGTGAAGGGGTGAAGGGGTGAGTGGGTGAGAATATGAAGAGGTGAGGGGGTGAGGGATGAGTACGTGAGAGGATGAAACGAAGTGAGGGGGTGAGATGGTGAGGGGATGAGTGGATGAGGACGTGAGAAGATGAGGGGGAGAGGAGGGGTGAGGGGTGGATGGAGGGGTGAGCGAGTGTATGGAGTGACTATTGCATTCCTCAGGAGGGGCGGCCGCTCTTATTGCGTGCCGCGCTGGAAAAATGCTCTTATTGCTCTCTTTAATCCTTATTGCTCTTATTGTTCTCTTCAATCATTTAATATTTCCACTTCTGTACGAATTGTTTCCACTGCTCTTGAGCACTCAAATTAATGAGTGGTTCACATTGTCAAAATAACAACCCCACGTAGCACTGATACGCCCTTTTGCCGGACAAAACTGAGTCAAGATGACTCACTCAGGGGCGCAAAAAAAGTGCAGCGATCGCTACTTGAAAAAAAGGCCCACACATTTCTCTGAGTGAAGATATAATATTTTTTTTATAAAAAGGCCGCTTTTCCTATTAAGAGGCCGCTTTTTTTTACTAAGAGGCCGCTTTTTTTACTAAGAGGCCGCTTTTTTTACTAAGAGGCCGCTTTTTTTACTAAGAGGCCGCTTTTTTTACTAAGAGGCCGCTTTTTTACTAAGAGGCCGCTTCCCTCCAAATATAATATAAATCTGTAATTTCAAATGCTAACAGTCGCTTATTTTCAAGTTGTGTTAACTTACATAACTTGAATAGAAAAATTTCACTCGTTGAAGGGGCAACTTTTATATTATTTAAAATCACAATAAATTATTACAAATCTTATAATTATTTTTTTAATTAGTATAAATTAGTAGTATTCTAACATTATTTTTTATTGATCGGAATTCCATGAATTTCTGGGTTGCTGCTCATGCAGAGTTTTAAATTGTTTTAATTAGTTTTAAATTGTTCATGCTTGAAATGTGTTTTAATTAGTTTTAAATTGTTCATGTTCAGTAGACGTGGCAATGTCTATTGATTGAGACGTGGCAACATCGCTCGAGAAATTATTGACACAAATGTGTGTGTAAATTGTCTTATCAGAGGCAGCGTTGGGGGCGGCGTATGCGGCAGCGTAAGAGTGGCGTATAGGCGGCGTATGGGTGGCGTCGAGGCGTATGGGCAGCGTAAGGGTGGTGTATGGGTGTCGAGGTGGCGTATGGGTGGCGTAAGGGTGGCGTAAAAGTGAAGTAAGTGGTGGCGTAGGGGTAGCGAGAGGGTGGTGTATGGTGGCGTAAGGGTGGTGTATGGTGGCGTAAGGGTGGTGTATGGTGGCGTAAGGGTGGTGTATGGTGGCGTAAGGGTGGTGTATGGTGGCGTAAGGGTGGTGTATGGTGGCGTAAGGGTGGTGTATGGTGGCGTAAGGGTGGTGTATGGTGGCGTAAGGGTGGTGTATGGTGGCGTAAGGGTGGTGTATGGTGGNCGCGACCCTTACGACCCTCACGACCCTCACGACCCTTACTGTCATCGCGACCCTTACGACCCTCACGACCCTTACTGTCATCGCGACCCTCACGACCCTCATGACCCTTACTGTCATCGCGACCTTACGACCCCCACGACCCTACGACCCCATCGACCCTCATGACCCTGCTGACCTTCATGACCCTCACGATCATCTCGACCCTTTAACCTTCACGAAAAATGTCAGAATTCAACATTGAAAACACGTTGATTCCTGATATTTCAATATTGATCCAATTTTCCAACATTGGTTCAACGTTAAAAATTCAACAAAATTCAACTTGTCAGGACATAACTCAACTTAAGAATTGAGCTCACGTCATCACAACGATGTTGAATTCTGCTCTACAATCAACACCAGTTCAGCAACAGTCAACAATGAAGTTCAACTTCAACATGTTTTCAACAATGCTTCTAGAAAGAAGATACACTAATAGAAGGATACTATGAGAAGAATACAATGATAGTACTCTGGTAGGAATAACATTATGGATAAGAGGACGCGTGTGCCGGCATGGCAGAAAGGCTTAACCCAAAACGCTCGTAAGAATAGCATTAATAATAAGCCCTTATGTCCCGCTGGGCCTGGCCGTTATTGTTACATCAAATCCCTTCATCGCGCTCCACTTGAGCGCGCATCTCGAGGGTCTCAAGTTACGAAACGCAAACGTGAAGCTTTTATGCGTCGTTGGCAACTGCGTGAGATAAACGTGAAGCTTTTATGCATCGTTGGCAACTGCGCGAGACAAACGTGAAGCTTTTATGCATCGTTGGCAACTGCGTGAGACAAACGTGAAGCTTTTATGCACCGTTGGCAACTGCGTGAGACAAACGTGAAGCTTTTATGCACCGTTGGCAACTGCGTGAGACAAACGTGAAGCTTTTATGCACCGTTGGCAACTGCGTGAGACAAACGTGAAGCTTTTATGCACCGTTGGCAACTGCGCGAGACAAACGTGAAGCTTTTATGCATCGTTGGCAACTGTCTTAGATAAACGTGAAGATTTTATGCATCGTTGGCAACTGCGCGAGACAATTGTGAAGCTTTTATGCATTGTTGGCAACTGCGCGAGACAAACGTGAAGCTTTTATGCATCGTTAGCAACTGCGTGAGACAAACATAAAGCTTTTATGCATTGTTGGCAACTGTGCGAGACAAACGTGAAGCTTTTATGCATTGTTGGCAACTGCGCGAGACAAACGTGAAGCTTTTATGCATCGTTGGCAACTGCGCGAGACAAACGTAAAGCTTTTATGCATCGTTGGCAACTGCGCGAGACAAACGTGAAGCTTTTATGCGTCGTTGGCAACTGTCTTAGATAAACGTGAAGCTTTTATGCGTCGTTGGCAACTGTCTTAGATAAACGTGAAGCTTTTATGCATCGTTGGCAACTGCGCGAGACAAACGTGAAGCTTTTATGCATCGTTGGCAACTGTCTTAGACGAACCGACATGTTTGGGCGAGTTTAGCCCGCACGTTTAGCAACTCACATTTTACTACATTTTACCCTCATTTTTGACACAATTATTTCTACCGTATTGTACCCTTTTAAGGGATAGAAATCATCGTTTTAATGAAACTATCGGAGTATTCATTGTATAACCTGGTCATACTCCGGAACTTCAAATCGCCATTTTAGTTTAGAGTTTACGGAAGGCTAAGTGCGTAAGAATGAGGTGATAGGATTATTGTGTCGTGGAAAGGTATGTTCTGTGTTAGGATGTCAATATGTAAACATATATGAATGAATTTGATACGGAATACATATGTAATTATTTAGCGCTAACATGTTTGCTAATGTTTGTTTACTATCAGTTATTCATCCATCTTTATTTGGTACTTTTAGGAAAGTCTCAAATGCCGAAACTGAATCACAAATGTCAAGATTCAAAGCTTGAATCCAAAAAGTACCTCAAGAGGAAAGCATGCGATGAAGTATAACGTTTATTTGTGGGTATTCTTTGTTATTAGTTTACAATACATTGATCATTTGTTTATCTGGAAGTTAGGCAATAAAGTGTTTTAATTGCCGTGTATCATATAGTAGCAAAACCTATACGATCATGAAGGCAAATTGGCGGTTCAAAGAGCCCCAACACCCTCATGTTTGACCCTCACTTTTAACAGCTTTTTACCCTCAGGTTTGACCCTCATTTTATGCAGAATTTACCCTCATGTTTGACCCTCACTTTTAACACATGTACCCTCATGTTTGACCCTCACTTTAAACACAGTTACCCTCATGTTTGACCCTCACTTTTAACACAGTTACCGTCATGTTTGACCCTCACTTTTAACAGCATTTTTCATGTTTGACCCTCACTTTTAACACATGTACCCTCATGTTTGACCCTCACTTTAAACACAGTTACCCTCATGTTTGACCCTCACTTTTAACACAGTTACCGTCATGTTTGACCCTCACTTTTAACAGCATTTTACCCTCATGTTTGACCCTCACTTTTAACAGCATTTTACCCTCATGTTTGACCCTCAGTTTTAACAGCATTTTACCCTCATTTTTTACAGCATTTTACCCTCATGTTTGACCCTCACTTTTAACAGTATTTTATCCTCATTTTCTACAGCCTTTTACCCTCATGTTTCACCCTCACTTTTTACGCCATTTCACCTCACGTTTGACCTCTTATTTTCTGCAGCGTTTTACCCTCTCGTGGATATCTCCCCTCGATCTCATGCATCAAGTTCGTCCGTAGATCCGAGGGTAGGATCACTCCATCCCTGCCCTCGCTGGATTGTATCCATGTTTCCATCGCCAGGGTAATCCATACGAGGGTAATCCATACGAGGGTAATCCATACGAGGGTAATCCATACGAGGGTAATCCATACGAGGGTAATCCATACGAGGGTANACGTACACGAGTACACGTACACGAGTACACGTACACGAGTACACGTACACGAGTACACGTACACGAGTACACGTACACGAGTACACGTACACGAGTACACGTACACGAGTACACGTACACGAGTACACGTACACGAGTACACGTACACGAGTACACGTACACGAGTACACGTACACGAGTACACGTACACGAGTACACGTACACGAGTACACGTACACGAGTACACGTACACGAGTACACGTACACGAGTACACGTACACGAGTACACGTACACGAGTACACGTACACGAGTACACGTACACGAGTACACGTACACGAGTACACGTACACGAGTACACGTACACGAGTACACGTACACGAGTACACGTACACGAGTACACGTACACGAGTACACGTACACGAGTACACGTACACGAGTACACGTACACGAGTACACGTACACGAGTACACGTACACGAGTACACGTACACGAGTACACGTACACGAGTACACGTACACGAGTACACGTACACGAGTACACGTACACGAGTACACGTACACGAGTACACGTACACGAGTACACGTACACGAGTACACGTACACGAGTACACGTACACGAGTACACGTACACGAGTACACGTACACGAGTACACGTACACGAGTACACGTACACGAGTACACGTACACGAGTACACGTACACGAGTACACGTACACGAGTACACGTACACGAGTACACGTACACGAGTACACGTACACGAGTACACGTACACGAGTACACGTACACGAGTACACGTACACGAGTACACGTACACGAGTACACGTACACGAGTACACGTACACGAGTACACGTACACGAGTACACGTACACGAGTACACGTACACGAGTACACGTACACGAGTACACGTACACGAGTACACGTACACGAGTACACGTACACGAGTACACGTACACGAGTACACGTACACGAGTACACGTACACGAGTACACGCACACGAGTACACGTACACGAGTACACGTACACGAGTACACGTACACGAGTACACGCACACGAGTACACGTACACGAGTACACGTACACGAATACACGTACACGTCAACCGCCGCCTGACATTTTATTTTCCCCCAACTATTTTTCTCCATATGTACTTAATTGGGGTATATATAAACTAAGAGTAAATATGCACTTAGGTTAAATATGCACTAGGGTAAAAATTCAACATATCGCCTAAAATCAATTTTACATCCGCCTTCCTCAATCTTCTGCCTACCGTTACCATCAATGCTATTCCTACCTGATGACAAAGAAACAATAGCTATTTTTACCAGACAGAGGGTCGAATGGATCAGTTGTTCGCCCAGCCCTGCACTTCAGTTATTCATGAGAAACAGTGTCAATCAGTTGTTATCCAGATCAGTTATCCGCCACATGACAATCAGTTATTATCCAGATCAGTTATCCGCCCACATGAGTTTGATCAGTTATTCGCTCTTAGTTATCCAACTCACCATCAGCTATTCACTTGATCAGTTATTCGCCTTCAGTTTCTCAACTAATCACTTATTCGCCCTCAGTTTTCAGCCCATGGATCAGTCATTCGCCACGCTTCTACACTCGCCTTTATGGCATAAAAACATTCAAGTCCGTAAGAATAACATGGTCCGTAAGAATAACATGGTTTCACGGTCGAAGTCCCCTACGATATAAAGAATATTAATAAACCAAGTCAAAGAAGATATATATACTTTTTGGCTTTTATACGAAGTAGGAAGGTTTATAAACCGGGGGGAGAAGGGGGGGGGGGGTTTACAAGGTGGGGAAGGGATGGGGTTTTAAGTCGTAGGAGGAAAGGGGTGGGGGGTTAGAGGATGAGGGTGGGGGTTTATAAAGTGGATGAAAGATGAAATTGCGGGGATTAAAGGATGGGGTTGGAGGGGGGTTTATAAAGTGAAGTAGGGGTTTATAAGACGAGGATGGGTTTATAAGAAAAAAAAAAACAATTTCTTCAGCATTTCAGCGAACTTGTATGTTGTTTTGCTCAGCGCCGTGGCCGGAATGCTGGTGGTATTGGTGGTGCTGGAGATGGTGATGGTGGTGGTGGTGATGGTGCAGGGCCTGTCTCTTATACACATCTAGATGTGTATAAGAGACAGGCTTTGATGTCCAAGTTTCATTCATTTCGAGTTCAATAAAAATTAACTGTTATATTCGTATAAATTCCTTACACCTAGCATATTTCCAGAAGACCATCGATCAGCCGCTGATTAAGCATCCGTCAGCAACCAGCCCATGACATCTTGCTATAAATATTAACAGCTTTACGTCACCATATTTTGAAGAGAATAGCCCAGAGTGTAATGT